CAACTACATTAGCATTTGTGCCCGAATAATCCTGCAATCAGTCACCATGTCGTCGACGCGGATGGCCACGTCATCATCGATGGCATTAGTGGGCTCCTTACTCGCCATCATCAACGAGATCTCCGCGCTCGGCGATCGCCTGCGCAGCCACAAGCGCTCGTGTCAGATTCTCATCCGTCGGATCAAGCTGCTCGCGCCGCTCTTCGAGGAGATTAGAGACGTCAAGAGCCCGCTCCCGCCGGCGGCGGTGGTGGCGTTTCAGAGCATGCGGGCCGCGCTTAGCGCCGCCAAGACCATTCTCGTGGACTGCAGCAGCGGAAGCCGCATCTGGATGGTCAGTGCGCCTTACCTCCCTTCTCCCTACCGCCCTTCTTTCCCTAATCCATCTATATGGTCAGTCGACCTTATCGATCGTTACCCCTCGCTTTCCTTCCCCCCCGCTTCTTACCTTACTCATCTTAACAATCAGGGTTGTAACGTTGCACCTTGCTCCTCGCATCGCATCACCTTCCTGCGTCCTCGCTTTCCCGCCACATCATCTCCTCCCTCCCCGCGCTCCCGCCCTCCCCGCGCTCCCGCCCTCCCCGCGCTCCCCGCTCACCCCGCTCTCCCGCATTTCACTCGCCCCTACGCCTCGCGCCTCTCTGATGTTTCGCGTGTGAAATTTCTTCCATTATCACCGTTTCCGTCACCCCTCGCGCCTCACCTCTCCGCATTGCTTCCCCGGCGCTGTACGCGTTGCGCAAACGATGAGCCGTGGGGCAATGGCGGAGCGGATGCGCGCGCTCAACATTATACTGAGCAAGGCTTCCCCCTTCGTGTCCCCTCCCGCGCCCTTTCCCCCTCTCTCCTTCCCCCCCCTCCCCGCCATCTTCCCCCCGCCCATGCCCCCTTCCCCGGCATTTCCCCCCGTCTCCGCGCGCGCAGGTGATGGAGCGCGAGGCGATGGCGGAGCGCATGCGCGCGGTGAACCTGGAGCTGAGCGGCGCGCTGGCGGACCTTCCGATGAACGTGATGGCGATCTCGGAAGAAATCCAGGAGCAGGTGCGCGGAAGGGGGATGACGAGGCGGGGAGAGGGGCCATGTGCGGGGGGGAGGAGGGGGGGGCGGGGGGAGGGAAGGATACTGAGGCGCTTGGGTGAACGTGATGGCCATTTCGGATGGGGGGCCGGGCGCATTAGGGGGGATGTCGGGTGGGCGCATGGGGGGTGTTGGGCGCAGTCCCTTCCCCTCGCCCCTCGACTCCCCTCTCTTTTCACTCCCTTCCCCCTTTCCACCTTACGAGACCCAGCTGGTGCAGGTTCAACTGAAGCACAGCCGCGCGTTGGACGATGCACAGGAGGAGCAGCTGTACGCCCACGTGACGTACACCACATCTCTCTCTTCCTCTCTCCCCCCATTCTCCCGTTTTCTCCCTTCCTCAGACGCAACTCGTGCAAGTGCAGTTGAAGCGCAGCCGAGCATTGGACGACGCGCAGGAAGAGCAGCTATATGCGGACGTGCGCCACATCCTCTCTGACCCGCGCCTGGGCGGCCCTCCCCTCAACAGCTCCGCCCGTCACCCCGGCCCCGCCGCTGCTGCTGTTGCTGCCGCTGCTGCTGCTGCTACTGCTGCACCCGGCGCCTCTGCCGCTGTCTCCGCCTCTGCAGCTGCTTCCCAGGGGGAAGTTGACGGGTCAGGACCGATGATTGACTTGTCTGCCGTGCCGCAGTCGCCGCACCCCTCTGCTCCTCCTCCCTCCCCGGCCGTTCTCTCCGCCTTCCCCTCCTTCCCTCATACACGTGCGGAGATTGACAAGGTTGCTGCTTCTGCTGCTGGTGTTACGATCACAGTGTTACCGTCTGGTGTGACAGGAGAGGAAGGGGCAGGGGCGGGAGGGTCTGCAGCAGGAGGAGCAGGGGGGGCAGCTGGGCGGTTTCCGTCATTACCCTCGCTAAGTTCCGTGGAAGCAGGGTTACTAGACCCGGTTTTGGGCAAGCTAGGGCTGATCTCCCTGCCTGCTGTTCTCGAGGAGATAGCCTCGCTAAAACGAGCGCGGGATCAGCTTATAGAGGAGACGGATGCAGCAGTGGCAAGCGGCAAAGGGGGTGGGGGTGGGGGTGGGGAATCTGCAATGGAACGGCTGAGGCTGCGACTAAATGAGGAGCTCAGGAAGGGGGCAGAGATGAGTTTTTCAGGAGAGGAGGAGGGAGGGTCTAGTGGGGGGCGAGGGGAAGGGAAAGAGGAGGGCCCTTCTGTTTCTTCCAAGTCTCTGGTTTCACCCAAAAGTGCAGTTTCTTCTAGAGGGGGGGATGGGAGGTCGGGGGATGGCAGCGTGTGTTCAAGAGCGGATGCAGAGCGGAGGGTTACGTTGGAGAGTAGAAAGAATGAGAAGCTAAGGGAGGTTGAGAAGATTATACTGTTACTGGAGCGGCTTAAAGTGAGTCTAAGCGGAGGGATGGAGGACAGGGAGGAGGGGAGCGGTGGAATGAGGAAGTCGGGGAGTGGGGATGGGTCGGGAGGGGAGGAGGGGAATCCGGAGGATGGGGTGGATAGGGGCGGCATCGGCGTGGGCACTGGGTCGGCGCTGCGGTCGAAGTCCGGGCGGCTGGTGGTGCCTCCGGATGACTTCCGTTGTCCTATCTCGCTGGAGATTATGAGGGATCCGGTGATCGTCTCTACAGGCCAGGTCAGTGCGTGTTAGAGAGATATTATGGATTCCTCTTAGTGTAACTTTCTTGTCTTCATCCTAATGCCTCTTTCTCACATCCCCGTTTTCTCCCTGCCTCCCCCCTTCCCATCCTTTAATCCCTCCCCAGACACCAAACTCCTTTCCTTCTTGACAACTCTCTACTCCTCCAGACGAGCAGTGGCTGAAGGAGGGTCACAAGACGTGCCCCAGCACGACTTCTGAGGCACATTCAAACACCGCCAACCCCCCCAACCCCTTCCCCCACCTCCCCCACCTCCCCTTCCCCCGCCAGACGTACGATCGAGCGTGCATAGAGCAGTGGCTGAAGGAGGGTCACAAGACGGCACCCAACACGACTTTTGAGGCACACTCCAACACCACCAACCCCCCCAACCTCTTCCGCCACCTCCCCCACCCCCCCTTTCCCCCAACAGACGTACGATCGAGCGTACATAGAGCAGTGGCTCAAGGAGGGTCACAAGACGTGCCCCAAGACGCAGCAGATCCTGTCCCAGCCCGCCTCGCTCATCCCCAACTTCTCCCTGCGAAGCCTCATCCAGCAATGGTGCGAAGCCAACAATGTTGAACTACCCAAGAGAACGCACAAGTCAGGCCACAGGCACCGCCATCACAGCAGCAAGCATGGTAGCAGCAGCAGCAGCAGTGGTGGTGGTAGCAGCAGCGGGGGTAGAAGTGCGGGTGGGAGCGGTGGGGGTGGTGGGTCCGGTGGGGGAGCAGGTGGGACCGGGGACGGAGGCTCGGCGGAGATTTCGCTCTCGGATCGACATCAGGTGATGCAGCTTCGGGACCGGCTTCGCTCGCCGGATCTGGAGGTTCGAAAGGGTGCTGCGGTTGACGTAAGGCTGCTGGCGAAACGAAGTGTGGAGAACCGGGTTGCAATGGCCGAAGGAGGCATCATTCCCCTCCTGGTCGAATTACTCACTGACCCTCTCCCAGCTGATGCCAAAATGCAGGAGCATACGGTTACCGGGTTACTAAACTTGTCAATCAACGACCCGAACAAGAGCCTGATTGTCTCAGCTGGAGCCATCCCGGCTATAGTTCGGGTTCTGGAGAAAGGAGGCAGCATGGAGGCTCGAGAAAACGCGGCAGCGGCGCTGTTCTCGCTCTCAGTCATGGATGAAAACAAGATTTCGATCGGGCAGGCGGGAGCGATACCGGCCCTGGTGGACCTGCTTCAGCATGGGTCAACTCGGGGAAAGAAAGATGCGGCTACTGCAATCTTCAACCTGTCGATCTACCAGGGGAATAAGGCAAGGGCTGTGCGTGCCGGGGTGGTTGCGCCTCTTGTGGATCTGCTCGTGCATCGTCGATCGGGCATGATGGACGAGGCTCTCGCGATCCTGGCCGTCCTTTCGACGTCCCCAGAGGGGCGGACGGCGATAGGAGAGGCGACTGCAGTGCCTATTTTAGTGGAGCTTATGAAAGATGGGTCTCCGAGGAACAAGGAGAATGCGGCTTCGGTGCTGCTCTCGCTGTGTTTGAACGGCAGGGAGCACACGGAGCTTGCGGTGCAGTGCGGTGCTGTGCCGCCGCTGCAGCTGCTGCTGAGGAGTGGCACGCCCAGGGCTAAGCGGAAGGCGTCTCAGCTTCTGCAGCACCTGCAGGACCAGGAGCTAATGTCCAAGAGGAGTTAAGGCAGGGGTTATCAGTTTGATGGCATGTGTGTCGCACCGGTGAGAGGAGGGTGTCACAGCTGCTGCAACGCCTGCAGGACCAGGAGCTTGTGGCTAAGAGGAGCCACGAACGGTCTTTGCTGCTGCTGCCGCCGCCGCTGCTGCTGAAGTAGCATCTTATCTCCTGCTCATCTCCCATACAACCATGCACTTGACGCCGAGAGGGGTAGCATGTGGTGAGAGGAATGAGTGTTTTGTAGCTGCTGCAGCTGCAGGGCCAGCACCTCTTGCGAAAGAGCAATTGAGTGTGTTTCCTGCTGCTGCCATCATGGATTATGAGTCATCATGACACGCACTGTCAAGGGTGGTTGCTGCTGCCGCCCTGTCAAGGGTACCCCTAGAGTGGTTGGCTGGAATCGGTGTGCTTTTCTCGTTGAAATGTTCGTGCCTTGGGAATTTTATGGCAATTTATGCTACCTCTGTGTCCTGATGCGCCAACTGGTGTGTGTATTTAGCCGGGTGTGTACCTTGTAACGAAGCAGGTTAAACCCGGTGGTGGCTTAGCACTCAGTAGGTCTTGATTGCACGCTTGCCCGCAAAGTTTAGCACTCAGTGAGTCCAAAAGCACTAGAAAACCCAAGGCTACACAAACAGAAACCGTAACATCTGTAAAGACAAGCTAATGTGCATATCAGCACAGCAGTGCCCACACAGCCACTGCCACTGCCACGCTCCACCATACAGCCCCACCCCTGCTCCCGCCTGTCCCTGCAGCCTTAGCGGTAGGCAAAAAGGCCGGCATCTGGCACTGTTGGCCGCCCACAAGCACAGCCAATGGGAAGACAGAAGAGCTGATGGCAACAGTGTCCCCGCCCGTGGCGTTGAACCCGGCTGTGTTGGGTGTTCGGTTGAAGCGGAGAGTCCACTGCACGTTGCCTCCGTCTCCTAGCAGCCACTGGTTCACACTGGGCTCTCCTGATATCATTAGGTTGTCACCTGGGGAGGGAGGGGAGGTAAGGGGAACAGGTGGGGAAGGGAGGAGAAATTTGAAAAGATGGTTGAATCTGAGGGCAAGGAGGACGAAGTGGTGGGGAAGTTGAGCAGACTTGCTGCGGTGCACACCTGATGTGTCGTATATGTGTCAGCATCAGATGTATCTTATACCAATCTAGAAGCATTTGATATCCAGCCATACCGTATGGTGGGGAGTCGAATTGAGCCACCACTGAGGAAGCTTCCTGGAGGTTTTCTGCAAAGCCCTGGGGAAACGCCAAGACTGCCGTCCAGTTCTTGATCGTGGGCGGTGCACTGTTCCAGAGCGCCACGCGCATGGTCCAGCCTGTTTCGTCCGCATCTGATACAGTCACGTGTGCCTGAATACCACAGCCAGTGCCACAGCTCTGGTGGGGGAGAGCAGGGGCGATGGGTGGAGGGAGGAAGGAGGGAAGCAGGTGGAGGGTAAAGGGTTGAGTTAGGACATTTAAGGTGCTTTAAAAGGCACAGCCGGTGCCACAGCTCCGGTGGGAGAGAGTAGGAGCGACAGTGGGAGGGAGAGGCGAGGAGGGAGGAAGTTGGATTGGAAGGAGGGAGGAGGGTGGAGGGAGTAGAGATGAGCAATGAGAGAAAAGACAGCAGAGATGGGAGGAGGCGAGGGAGTGAGGGGTCAAGAATGCAGGCATACGTGCTAAAACACCGCAGCAAGTACAAGGACCTCAAACTCACCACCTCGCGCTGCACCGACATCACCAGTCCCCCCAGGTCCTCATTCCTCTCTTCCATTGTCCACTGCCTCATCCCATCATGCCAGTTTTCCATCAAACTCGCACCCCATCCACTCACCCCCTCGCTCTGCCCGGGCACCACCAGCCCTGCCAGGTCCTGACTCCTCTCCTATTTTAGGCCTATTTTAGGTCCTCATACCATCATCCCATTTTTTAGGCCTATTTTTTCGTCCACTCACCCCCTCGCTCTGCCCCGGCACCACCAGCCCTGCCAGGTCCTCGCCCAATAGCACGGTTGCAGCGGGGTCCGCACTCGCAGACGTGGCGGCGTCGCATTGGCCGCCGCCCTGGCTGGTGTTGGAGGAAGAGCAGCCGCAGGCGCAGGAGGGGCTGGGGGCGAGCGAGGTGTTGAAGAAGGCTGGAAGAAATTGGGGGGGAAAAGGGTTGAAGTAACGGAGGCGTGTGGGGGGGAATTGGGTGGAAACATGGGGGACAAAAATGCGATGAAGCAAGAGGGGAAGATGGAGGGGTGGGCATGGTTGCAGGAAGTGCAGCGAAAGAAGTGGAGGTGAGATATGTTGGTGGGAGTGGGAAGGGGATTCGCATGCTGTTTCGTGCCGATGTTACTGAGGAAGTTACCAGATGCTGACACAAAGCAGGTTGTCGAGATGTGTTTAAACTCCTTAACAAGCCGTTTTGTGTCAAGGTTACTAAAGGATTTGTGTTACCAGATGCTGACACGGAGCAGGTTGGAAGAGGCCCGTTTCCCGCCACTGTGCCACATGTCACCACGTAAGAGGCTGAGGTAGGGGAAAGCAGGCATGGGGACAGAGGGCGGTGATGCACAGGTTAAGTGATCGAAATTAGGGAAAGGCAAAGTCAAGGGGAGTAACTCGAGTGAGGGTTGTATGAGAGATAGAAGAGTACTGGAAGCTGACAAAGAATTACAAGTCCAGCCGCTCTCTGTTAGTAAAGCTATCAAGTAAAGTCCTCACAGTCCCTCATCCGCTCTTTGTTAGTTTCCACTGTCTGCCTTTCGCCCACCTTTAGCATTCATGGTCTGTTTGCCGCCCACCACGGTTCTCAAGCGCTGCAGGGGAGAGAGCAGCGGGGGGATCGCACGCAAATCCCTGCGACTGATAAGTTTACCATCGGCCGCCCACCTTTGGCGTTCATGGTTTGTCTGCCGCCCACCACAGTCTCAAGCGCCGCAGGGGAGAGCGCAGCAGGGGGGTCACAAGCGAATCCCTGTGACTGGTTCGACACTTGCGCTGTGAAGTTGGCAGGGAAGGTGAGCAGCGAGGGGTCCCAGTACTGCTGCGCCTTGGCCTGGGGTGGGGTTTGGAAAAGGAGTTGGGGGAGAGAAAACCAGAGGACCAAGGTAAGCAGAGGCTTCAGGGTCGCATGCGATCCCTGAGACTGGATCAACGCCCAGGTGGTAGGAAGGTGAGAAGTGAAGGGTCCCAGGGTGGAGATTATGGAAGGAGGAAACGCAGAAGAGATTGGGTGCAATATTAGCAGTGGGATGCAACACGAACGACAGGACGAGGCACTAACATAAGGATGTGGGGCCAGTGACGGGATGAGATGCTAACCAGAAGCATGGTGAAAGTTGTGGAGGAGGAGTTGTCATACGCTGCTGCGGACAGAGATCCGTTCAGGCTGGGGTGGCGGGGGATGGGGAAACAGATGACGGGGAGAAGGGAAAGGAAGTGGAGAAAGAAGGGAAGAAGGGGGGAAGCGGAAGCGGGTGAAGAAGGGAAGGGAAAGGGGTAAAGAAGGAAGGAAGGAAGGAGGAGAACCGGAGCAAGAAGTGACTCGAGTGAAACATGGCTGGCCGCAGGGAAGAGCTACACAGCACGTACACACCGTAGAGGCATGTAACCTAGGAGATGGTTTCGTTTTCGTCTCAATAACACATGTGAGTGGCAAACGCGATGGAGGGAGAGAGGAGCTTACGGGGAGCCATCCACAATGGTTGGGATAGGATCGCAGGAGTAGGGGTTGGTGATGGATGGGTTGTCAATGCACGCCGGGCATGAGGTGCAGTCTGGGAAAAGAGAATCAGTATACATGGGGGAATGTTGAGGCGTTTCAAAAGGGGTTAAAAGGCATGCAGGGCATGAGGTGCAGCCTGGGAAAGGTAAGAGGAAAAGAAGAAATGCGTAAGCGTTCACCAGACATGGGGAGCATTCTTGAGGCGCGTCAACAGCGTGCGGCAGTATGGCAGTGCGTTACCCTCTTCACAGCCTCCTACGCCTCATCACCTGTTCCCAGTCTCCTACGCCTCATCACCTGTTCCCAGTCTCCTACGCCTCATCACCTGTTCCCAGTCTCCTATGCCTCATCACCTGTTCCCAGTCTCCTACGACCTTGTTGTTCTGTTCACTCTCATCTCACCTTATATTGTGTTACTAATCTCATCTGTAACAGAGGCTTACCTCCTTGCCTTAGTGTTTGGCACCCATCGCACTCCAGGATCATTCTGGCCAAAGTGAGGAGAGAAGTAAAGGGGATGGTGAGAAGAAGCACAAGTGTTTGAGCTGAACAATCACACAGAGAAGAAGCAACGTGAATGGCAGGATCTATGAACGCACTCAGGAGCATGTCAACAGTATGCGATGACCAAACTTAAGCCAGAAACTCTGAATCCAATTCTTGAACTCTGAACCCCACTCACTACCTCTGACTGAGCCCCACTCACTCGCCCATCTGCCACGCCCACTGCAAGGACCACCCGGGGTTGCTGCTGACTGCCGTGTAGCGCTGCGTGTTGCTCACTCGCACCGCCACCGTGTACTGAGACGCATTGGCGCTCAGCACGTCCCACTGGATCTGCAGCCCCTGGCTGGATATGGGTAGCGTTGGTAGCGGCAGTGGTGCCACTGGGTTGAGAGGGAGAAAAGGGTAAGGGAGCGGGAGAGAGAGGGTAAGGAGAGAAGTGATACGTAGCGTAAGTGGTGCAACTGGTTTGAGAAGGGCGGAAGTGGGAGGAGAGCGAAAGGATCGAGGGAGGAGGATGGGAGAAGCATTTCATTCCAGCTGCCAGCTGTATCACGTGCCGATGGGAGAAGCATTTCATTCCAAGGACGTGGTAACAAACCAGCAGAAGCTTAGTATGAAGCAGAATCATACTGGTAGAAGAGACTGGAGAAGGAGCATGGGAAGAGGGAACATGAGAAGGGGGAGCAAGGGACGAAGGACACACACACACCTTGCGTCTCCTGAGAAGGGCCGGTAGAGGGGCAGCACACACGGAGCGTGTCATTGCGACCTGTGGGGATAAGCAAGGGAGGAAGAAGGGAAAAGTGGGAAACGAGAGGGGGACTTTTGAGAATTCTCAAAAACCAGAGGAGAAGGAGGAAAGCGACCAGAGGAGAGGCCGGAAATTTGCGGGGGTATTGCAGGAAAACTTATTAACCTTCTCCATCTAGGAGCATGGGGGTTTGGCGCTGCAAGTAGACTCGGTAGTGTGCAGAGAGAGATGGTCCTGGGAAGTAGCTGCTCTTGAACAATGCAAACGAATCCTGCTAATCCCAAACCTCACTACCTGAGAGCATGGGTGTGTCGCTACAGGTAAACCCAGTGGCATCAAGGGAGATGGTCCTGGGGAGTGCAGCAGCTGCTGACGTGGCAGCGACCTCTGTGCCTGCCAGCTGTATCACGTGCTGGAAGCGCCGCTTCTGGCCACCTGATTGGACGGCTGTGAGCAGGAATGCGGCCCCTGGTGGACTGGAGAGCTCGAGACCGTTGCCTGGAGGAAGCAACCGGAACCAAGCAAAGCGAGCAAACACGGAACGAGAAGAGGGAGGTTGAGGTGCGCAGAAGGATATGCAAGAGAGAGAGGGAATGCATGGCGAAGAAGACAAACGTTTCTGAACCGAGATGAGACCAGTCCAGATTGGGCATTAGGGTAGGAAAACATGAGATTAGAGAGGCACCAAACAGGAAAAATACAGGTGGACTCATTCGCAAGGATATGCAACAGGTCTAGCATTCATTCGCATGTGTATGCATGTACTCGTTATGAGCTCACCTGCTACTGGCAGCTGCACGCCCGCAGGAACAACCGCCCCGTCCACCTCTCCAATCGCCTCCTGATTCACATACCCAAACGACAGCGCCCATTTCCTGAGCGGCCTGGGCCCCACATTAGAGAGGGTAACCTTGGAGGTGAAGCGGAACGCAGGCGCTCCGGCAAAGGGGATGGGCGTGAGAGAGAGAATGCGATAGTCTATGATTATCCCGGGGCATTTCGCTGAGCTGGTGAGAAGTGATTGGCCGAGAGGGGCGGGGGCGGGGGCGGGGGCGGGGGCGGGGGAGGGGGAGGGGGAAGGGGCGGGTGCTGGGGTGGAGGCTGGGGAAGGGGCAGGGGCGGGGAAGGGGGAGAGGAGGGATTCGGGGGCAGGGGCAGGGGCAAGGGGGAGCTCGGGGGAAGGGGCGGGCGCAGGGGTTGGGGCTTCGAGGGGAGGTGGGGGAGGGGGCTGGCGGCGGCGACGGGGGCGAGGGGAAGAGCGGGGAGGAGGGGAGGGTGGGAGGGAGAGAGGGGGGGATGCGATGGGTTCAGATATAAGCGGAGGGAGGGCTGGCTCGGAGGCAGAAGGGGAGGGAGCGAGCGAGGAAAAGGCAGGTTCGGGGGTTGAAGGAGGGGGGGCGGATGTTGAAGTGGGACCTCTGGGGGAAGGGGGGAGCTTGGGGGAAGGGGGATCAGTGGGTTCTGCAGGTGCAGAATCTAAGGCTGACGTAGCTGATGGATTCGATGTGGTAGACCGGGAAGCGGCAGAGGAGGAGGAGGAGGCGCGAGTGGATGAAGAGGAGGAGGAGGAGGGTCGGGAGGAGGAGGGAGAGGAGGAGGAGGAGGAGGTAGATCGTCGGGAGGCAGGGGCGGGGAGGGAGGAGGATGGGCGAGAAGGGGATGCAGAAGGTGTGGTCGAAGCAGCAGCAGCAGTCGCAGAAGTGGAGGATGTGGGAATATCTTCCACGAGGCGAAACCGTGAAGCCATGCCCATGCCGTGCCAGTATCCACCCTCGTGTGCGGCAGCCGTTGCACTGTGGTCCTGTGATCCCACTGCTGCACTGTATCCGTGGGCTGGCTCTGCAGCAGCAGTGGTAACGGCAAGCATGACGCACAGCACAGTGGCGCATGGCACGTGAAACGCTCTATCTTCTTGCATAAGCTTCCTCTGCTGCTGGATCAAAGGGCGGTGTTGCCGGGATAAGAGCCTCTGAGCCCGATAGTAGCCTCCTCGTGAGTGTAAAATAGGAAAGAAGGAGCCTTCCATAGTAGGCGTTCTTTACTAGTTACCCAGCTGGGTCAGAATGGCTCAGTACGGGCACTGACTCTGGCTTCTGAGGCACCTCAAGAATGGCTGCAGCTTGTCCAGAGCACCGGTTATGAGGGGCACCCCACAAGTCAAAGAGAAGCTTTTGGGGTGCACCAGGAGAGGAAAGGGAGAGCCCGGGATGCAGAGAGTGGGAGGCGAAGGATAGAAGCGCAGGAGGAAGTGGTTGAGCAATGGTGGAGAGGAAATACTGCGTGTTGAATGCCGGGGAGGGATTGATTCTTGAATGACGAAAGAGTGCTTGGTCGATGCTGTTGGAATTTGGAGTAAGTTGGACGCACAGAGATGAAGGGTCGGACGGACCCCGCTGCTGCTGGTACTATGTCGGGGCGAGGGTCGTTTTAGCACGGTGCAATGAGTCCATCGGATCCGTCACACGCGTACACGTGGTTCGTCGAGCAGGAGCCAACCGTCAGGATGCGCCGATGAGCATCTGCCAATGATAAGCTTCGTGCTTCCACTGGGAGAGGGCAAGAACGAGCCATCCAATCGGAACACCCAATGCCGAAGCTCTTGGAGACAAGACGGGAATTCAATCCAAAGGGAAAGAAGGGAACACCAATCGGGCTCGCCATATTCCCAATTGTCGAGGCTATGAGGCTTTGAGGCGCCTCAATGGCGCCTCGAGGATGCCGAATCGAGAGATGGCGGTCGGTGGTTGTTCGGGCTACTTCCATCTGAGCAAGTCGGGAAGAAGCAAGAGTGACCTGTAAAGTGTTCACGGACTAAGTTAATTGAGAACAGGAACGGCTGCGATTAACCAGAAAACGGAGCTGGAATGTGCGGAGCGGATGATGCGGTGGTATGTGACGATTGAGCGCGGGGGCGCTGAGAAGCAAAACAGAATGTCCCTTGAAAAATCCGTCGGAGCAATTACTCCTCTACTGAATGCTCCGCTATGACTGCTGTTGAATAAGAGATAAATGCTAAACTGTTCGTATGTTGATACGCAATCGAGACACCGCAGTTTGAACAACTGAGCCAGCTTGACCGAATCAAACCTGGTCCCTTCACACATGGACCCAGCTGTCGAGTAACCAGGTTCGCACGCCTTATCATTCGTCAACGAGACAGCACGACTGCGAATGTTTGCCGTCGTTTCCGGAAAAGCCCGCTGTGAGTGGCTTGCGTTCCAAGTTCCAACCGCGCTCAATCACATTTGATTCTGTCAGACCAACACAGAATCAGGCCAACGTAATGGCAATGATTTGGCCCACACGCACCACACGGTCAACCTGCCACCTCACCTGACATAGTCTCCAAGTAGTTCATCCCGATAGCTAAACGTGCAGTTTCGCGCCCACGTCTTGTGCGATACAGCACGCTGCGACACGCTGTCTACAACCAAGGCGCGTGCCTACATTCTCTTCGCGTAGTTTCACGGCTGTCCAAACCAGAACTTAGACCCGTGGCTCTCTCTTTCTGACTCTTATTTTCGGATTTGCACTCACCTTTGTCCAGAGGGAGAGTAGGTTCCTGTTGACGTGTCCAACCGAACTTCTTTTCTTCTCGCTCATATTCGCGTTTCGCTTACCTTAGTCGCCGACGCAGCCATCAGGCGACGTTCGCCGTCGCCTTTCGTCAATGGAAGAGCCTTCATGGACGCGCAAGCTAGCGCCGAACCGCACGATAGCGGAGGAAGCGAAGGCCATCCTTCACGAGGTGCGTTGCTTTCCCCATGCGTCGCATGCGATCGCGGCACCGCGCTGTTGTTGCGGGGGAAGCGGTGTAGGAAAGGAAGGGAATAGACGAGATAGAAGCCATTTGTTCCGGTTTTTCGGAACCTCACTTGAGATTTAGTAAGAACGTTATTTGCGCACCGCTCACCACAATCCTTCCACACTCGTGACACGCTCTCCCCCTCTTTCCCCCACCCCCTCCCTCTCTTCCTCCATTTCCCCCTTTTCCCCCCCAACCCCCTTCCCCTCCCCACGTCCCCCTATTCCCCCTTCCCGCTCCCCACTCCCCGCTTCCTCCTCTCCGTTCCCCTTGCCCTGCCCCCTCTCCCCTCCCCCCACGCGCGCCCCCCTTACCCCCATGCCTCCCTCCCCTCGATACCTGGGCAGCTGAATGCAGTGGTGGCGGTCGGGCCGCGCTGGCAGATGGGCAGATGCATTTCCCGCAACCCCTCCCCTCTCCCATTTCCCCCTCTTCCCCCCCGGCCCCCTTCCCCTCGCCCCTCCGTTCCCCCCTCCCCGGCCCCCCTCCGCCTGCTACCTGGGCAGCTGAATGCAGTGATGGCGGTCGGTCCACGCTGGCAGCTGGACACCTTTCTGGGCGGCACTGCCCGCCTCTGCGCCATCCAGAAGGCCCTGCGCGCGCGGCTAAACGACAAAGAGGGGGGTGCTGGAGGGGCGGGGGGACGAGCGGGTGACGGCATGGGCGGAAGGGGGGCGGAGTATTACGAAGGCGGGGAGAGCAGCAGAGATGACATGGGAGTGTGGGGGACCAGGGGGTATGGCGGCAGTAGTGGTGCTGCTGCCAGCTATGGTGATGATCAAACGGACGGAAGGGAAGAAGCAGGAGGAGGAGCAATGGAGGACACAGGATTTGCAGGTGTGATGAGGAAAAAGCTGGGGCGAAGGGCCAGTCAGCCTCCGACCATATTCGGATCAGCACTAGCAGCGGCAGCAGCAGTAGACAGCGGCGATTTGAACGGGTTTAGAGATCACCAAGGAGAACTGGCTGGGAGCGAAAGCTTGGGGTTAGGACGGTTGAGATTAGGGTTAGGGTTAGGATTTGGGCGGTTGCGTGCTGGGAGTGAAGGGGAGGTGATGAAGGTACTGGGCGATGTGGACATGCTTATAGAGCGATGCATGGAGATGCTTATAGAGGAGTTCAAAGATAGCCTTGTGAAGCACAGCAGGGCGTTTGAAGTGCCGATGGCAAAGGCTGTTTTGGACCTCAGTGTCCGATCTGCTTCGCCTCTCCCCCGCTCTGTGTCTGCTGGTGATGGTGCTCTTGGTTCTGGGGCTGCTGCTGCTGCTGCTGCTGTTTCTGCTGATTCTGGTGGGGTCAGCAGTGGACACAGCATAAGCAACTCGCGGTACAGCAAGAGCCTATCTGCTATTGATGATGAGGGGGAGAGTTATGGTCCAGCAGCAGCACCGACGGCAGCAGCAGCAGCAGCAGCAGCAGCAGCGAGCAACAACGTGAGGGCTTCTCACAGTTATAGCAGCAACAGCAGCCCCACCAGCAGCAGCAGCAGTGGGGGAGGTACCAGCAGAGCGGTCAACCCCATGTACAGTGCACAGTACAGTGCACTTGTGAAGCGATTCAAGAAGCTGTCGACTCGGCCGCCCATCACTCTGGATCCTTTTGGGAAACTGGCAGCAGCTGCTGCTGCTGCTGCAGCAGCAGCAGAAATGGATGCATTTGCAGAAGAGGCGGCATTAGCAGGCGAAATAGGAGAAGAGAGTGGAGGGACTGGGGAGAGAGAAGGGGAAGGAGGGAGAGGAGGAGGGAGAGGGAGAGGAGGGAGAGGAAGAGGAGGAGCAGCGTCACAGACTGGCGGTGAAGGGAAGGAGGCAGGGATTGGTATGGACGACAGAGGGATGACAGAAGAGGAAGCGAGCGTGCATAAGCGCACGATGTCAGACGATCTGTTTGCGCGCGATCCCCTGCTCGCAGCGTTCGGATTGCGTCATCGTAACTCCCAGATTTCCCCAACCCCGAGCCCTTCTGCTGCCGCTGCTGCTGCTGTGGCCGCTAGAAGGGATGGGACGGCTGGTGGAGAAGCAGGAAGTGCCGAAGGAATGGGAGGAGTAGCAGCAGCGGCGGCGGTGGCGGCGGCGGCGGCGGCATCAAGGAAAGGTTCAGTGCATCGTTTCAACACTCCACATGTAGCGATTCCAACCAACCCTGAGCTGGTATCCCCAAAGCAGACCCATCCGCATCCCCTCTTTGCGGAATTAGAAGCCGTGGAAGTAGAAGATACCTTTGCAGCGGAATCCCATGCGAGGATAGGTGCAAATGCTAGCGGAAACCATGGTGCTTGTGCTCAAAACGAGGCTGCCACAAATGGGGATGAGGATGAAGATGGGGGGGGTTCCTCCAATTTCACGTTCTCTCCTCTCTCAGACACATCAGGCTCGGGAAGCTCTGCTTCGGTGTCCCGAAGCACCCGGGCAGCTGCAGAAGACATCCCGAATCTGCTGCCGTCTCCAGTCCAGATGTCCGGACCTGCGTCTATTGTGAGTGCCGTGTCTGCGATCCACGCCCGGAAGAACCGAACCTCAAAATTGGTTCGGGCTGAATCAGACGCAGCAGCGGAAGGAGCGCGCCGGTTCTCACGCCGGGAAAGGGAGCAGCAGAAAAAGCAGCAGGAGAGGGATCGGCAGCAGGTTCAGGAGGAAGAGGATTTGTATCCGCTCCCGGACCTGCCGAGTCAGGCTCGGCAGAGCCGAGCCAGCAGGCACGGTCGGTCTCAGTCTGCTGCAGCGAATTTCACAATAGTAGTACCACGGAGAAGCATGAGAGGGGCGTTAAGTGGGGAATCCGGAACAAATGTGACTGTAACAGGATCTCCTGCTGGTGGGACGGGGGCAGGGGCGGCAGGGGCAGGTCCAGGGGGGTTGAGAGCAGGAACCGGGGGGATGGAGCCCCTTCCCCCTTTAGGGGGAGCGAGAGGGCGGAAGGGGGACTCTGGTCCATTGGCAAGACCAAGGGGAGTTGGGGGAGGGGGAATAGGAGGAGCAGTGGGTAGGAGCGAGAGAGGAGGGGGGATGGAGGAGGATGGGCAGCAGCAGTTGGTGCCATGGTTGCCTGTGAAGGCTGTGCCTTCTTTGGAGAGAATCGCTCAGCAGCTTTCAGATGGGGGCAAAGCGAAAGAGTGTTTGGTCGAGTACTGGTATAAATTTGGCTCTCCTCTTCCCCACCTTTCTCCTCTCTCCACCTCTTTCCCCTCTTTACCCTCTCCGCCTTTTGATCTGCCTTTGAAT